ACCACTCCTTTCTGTAAATAAATATGATGGAGGAGAAAGAAACATTTCTTTGTTTTCTCTCAATATAAAGCTTCAAACGGCTATTTTGACTAGGTAAATATAATGGAAGTGGTGCGGTAATATTTTTCTTTAGACAACAGACGATAGGTGATTTTTTCTACCTTAACAACAGCATTCAATCGAAATGAATACCTCTCTCAGGGTAGAAAGCTGCGAGTCTACGTTTTTGTGGATCCGAATCCGATCAGGTCCAGACCCTAGGTTTTTTTCACTAATATTTGGTACCCTTTGTGTACATGAACAAGTGAAGGGCCAAGGTTTTAACTATTTATTGGCTACTCTCGAAAAAAAGACAACGCACATTTATTTTTTGTTATTCATTTTTCGATGTAGGGGCTACGGATCCACAAAAAGGTGAGCTGGGATCCGGCAAAAAGTAAAACTTTGGACCCAAACCCGTGTCCGGAAGGACTTGCAGGTCTTTACTATAGGATTCTCTGAGATATTCAAATTTATGAAGTATGTGTTAAAAAGAAAATGTTGATATGTAGATCTTGTCATGTTGTTTTTTTATTTTGAAAACAAACAAATACTATCAAATTAATCTGTAATCTTTTTTAGATGGTACACTATCTCTCTTTCATCGTAGGGTTTTGTTTGATACTTTCGATTGAAACAACAATAGGACCTGGTAGTCGTAAATCACCAGCCCGTCCGACAGAAAAAGTGACATCAACACCATCTCCATCTGTTCAACCGTCTCCTCCACCTTCAACATACGAATCATTACCACCGACAAAAACTAATGTCTTAAAACGTAATCTTGTCGAAGAAAATATTAATTCTCAATCAATTCTTGAAAATCATCAATCATATTGTTCAACATGTTTAGAAACACGAGAATTTAATAATCCAACACTTGTTTATATAACACCATGGAATTCTCATGGTTATGATATAGCAAAAACATTTGCAAAAAAATTTGATTATATTTCACCAGTTTGGCTTCGTATAAAACGAACAGGTTTTGAAAAATATACTTTTGAAGGTATACATGATATTGATAAGAAATGGATTGAAACATTAAAAGAAAAAAATTCTAATGTACATATTGTACCACGTGTTACATTTGAAAATTGGTCTGTTGATGATATACATGCATTATTTCAATCAGAAAATGAAAAACAACAATTAGCATCAACATTTGCAAAATTTCTTGATGAATATACAAATTTATTTGATGGTTATGTACTTGAAATACTTGTACAATTTCGTGGTGCATCAAAACCAACACTTAATCATATAATTAGTGATATTGCTGAACGTGTACATCAATTAGATAGTCAAGGAAAAAAGAAAGAAATTATTTTAGCTGTACCACCATATGAAGAATTATTTGATAATAATGATTTTGAAATGTTATATGAACATTTAGATGGATTTAGTATTATGACATATGATTTTCCTAATAGAGAACCAGGACCAGTTGCACCATTAGGTATATATTAACATAATATCGAAAACGATATAATATACAGAAAAGAAATCGATAGTAAATGAATACATAATTGATGTTAAGAATTTAGATATCACTGAAATTTTCAAATGTGATTAAGTATAGAAATTTTATAGCTGATACCTACCCCTCAAAATAGAAGACTTTCTCTTAATTGATTTTTCGAAAGATAGGAAACTTAGTTGGTATATTTATATCAAAATATGACTGGTTTTCAAGGCTTTAAGCTGAAAACTAATATCAATGTTATTTCTAAGCAAGTAAAACTCTAAAAAATTTCTTCTCAAATTCTCAAAATCATTTTGGTTGTCTAGAAAAACTTTTTAATTAGAAATTATGAAAATAAATAAGACATAATAGAAGATCTGGAATTTTGTATTGTGGTGTAGACGAGGGTATCGCCTTTGCAAAAGCTTGACTAAAATGAGATATTTTTCGTTTATAGTTGATATGAACCATTAAACATATTTAAAACAATATAGAGTTTAGTACAGATAATAGAATAAAGTCTTTGATCAGTTTTGTAACAAACTCTAATACTATCATTATAATAATTTTGTTATTAAGCGAAATGTTCGAAGAGAACTTCCAGTAGAATGTTATTTTTATGAGAAACTTTTCATTTTTCTAATGAATCATTGAAGAAGAATTTCATTTCGGAAATATTGGATAATTAGAACAACTGCAATTTACAATTAGTAAATGACTTAATTGTCTACCAACATAATTATGATTGAAATATCATCAAATTATCTTTAATCATAATATTCTAAGCATAGTATGTGATTCTGAAAATCAGATGAGTCTTTTGTCATATTTTCCGTGCTTTTTTTTTTCATTAACATAAATTGAATATATTTGTTTCTATTCAAGATGAATTAACACAAGGAACAGACAACTAAAAAGGGCGGTACTCTAATTGAAAAAAAAAAACTTTGAACCTGAAAGTTCATATAGTATAATGACTCTTTTAACCCTAGAATATGTTTATTAATTTATGTCAAAATATACATAATATTTTACATATTGTTTTTTTTTTGCTTCGTTAAAGAATGGGTCAAAATGACAATGGAAAAATTTTCCATGCCGGAAAGTGAAAATCCAATTAAAGTATTTCTTGGTCTTAATTTTTATGGATATCGTTATGATCGAGTTGATTCACCAACAAAAAAAGATCAACAACAATATGGAATGAAACCTATTATTGGTCGAGATTATGTTGAATTTCTTCGAAAATCTCATCCTAAATCAATGATTATTTATGATCCTCGTACACATGAACATGCTACTGTTATACATGGTCGTCCAACAAAACAACAACAAAATCCATTACCTGAAACAATTATTTTTTATCCAAGTTTAAAATCAATTTATAAACGATTAGAATTAGCAACTCAACTCAATGTTGGTATTGCTATTTGGGATGGTGGTCAAGGTCTTGACTATTTTTTTGATTTATTGTGATTAAATTTCATGATATATGTTATTTGTTTTTTTTTTCTTGATTATTCATTTTTTCTGTTTTGGCTTTTATGTTTTTTTGGCTATAGATTTTGATTCTTTGATTGATAAAGAAAATGAAATTTATATAATATGGTAGGACAATTTATTGATACATTCTGGCGAAAATCATTCATTGGTGATTTACGTCGAGCTAGAAAAATATCTGAAGATGATACTCAATGGACTATAATATATAATGGCAAAACTCATAAATTTCAATTTGTTTGGTTACAAGGAATTTGTGTCAAGGTGGGTTATATCATTAATGTTTTTAGTTCTGTCAAATGTTTGATAACGATAGTAGAGTATAAATTAGAATTGACATATATATTCAGAGCAAATATTTAGACAAAAAAAGGACTTTCTCTTTTCTTCAAGTATTATTCAATTGCAAAATTAGTTTTGTGAAATATAATGAATTATAGGATTTTATTTCGATATATAAAAGATTTTCACAAATGAATTTATATTATAAAGATAATCTGATCAATTACAATATGAAATATTTTATGTATATAGATTGATAAAATTGCTGATTTAATGATAATTGAAGATGCTACAGGACAAGCTGAAATACAAAATTGTTCTCGTATTGAAGATGCATGGTCAACAAATGAAGGTATATATATTGAACAGATTGATATTCGTCAAAAAAATATTTATATATACTATCAAATAGGTCATAGAAATAACACTTATTGATAATAAATAATTATAAAAAAAAATTATAATTTAAGTCAAAACATATTCTAAGATTCGATGCATACTTTTGACTTGCCAAAAAAAAAATCATGCGAATCAAAATATAATTTAAGAGAAATGATCTAAAAAAGTGCGAGCCGTTGACTTCATAAAAAAACAACGAGTATTGAAGAATTATTTTAGATACAAGAGCTTCGTATGAAATGGGATGGGACGAAAAAAACTGTCCCATGGAATGAACTATCGCAAACTGTCCCATATGTGATGAGACTATCTTCAAAATTTTCCGTCTCATCCCACATAAGACTTCACACTCCTCAATATATTTTAAGAAAATTTTCTAAACTTGATTTCCAGAGTTACAAAATGAACTTAGCCATTTCTGGAGAATTGCTGCAAGATCCTCGATTCTTAGGGCACGATATTGCTCTACATGCTGTTCAAAAACAAAATGCTAACAAACAAATACTATAGAGGACATCTACTGTTTAAATGCTGATCCAAAAAAACCTTCAAAAATTGATGCAGTCAAACAAAAGGAAGTGGAACTAAGTGAAATGGACGTCTTTACGACAGAAATATTAAACTGCCAAAAAATTGCTAAAAATCATCATAGAACTAATTTCAAACAGGATGCGATCGTATTCTTCGTCGTTATATCTGTTAGTACAACTTTCCCCCATTCGAAATTTATTTTAAGATCTTGCAAAGAGTAGCTCATATGGATTCCACAAAAATTCTGAATCTATATTCGGATCTGGTTCTAATTAAAAGTTTTGAAATTTTTGCTGGACTCTTTATCTGTCATATTTTGTCTTTCAAACTTTCAACCTTCTCACTATTACTAAATTTTACATCATTTCATTTTTCTATTTTATAATTTTTATCATAACTAAGTTCACATTTCGACGAAAAACATATCTATTTCGAAACAATTGTGTTGTCTTTATCAGAAAAAAAGATTGTTGTAAAAGTCCATGGGATAGAATGTTTTTGAAAGTCTTGCATGGGATATTTTTCAACAATTTTTCGTCCCATCCCGCACGAAGCCCTGTTAGATATCATACGAATAAATTCTAGAATAGTTTTCTCTAGATCGGAACTGATGGATTAAACAGTTACCAAGACTGGGGTCAAAAAAAACTTGATCCCGCACGTCTCTAATCGGAAGCCTTAGTCACTGGTAAAAAATTGTTTGTGCATCTTTGATGATTTTTAATTCTAGTACTACTATTAAGCCCATTTTTGTCTGAGTTATGTTTAGAATAATTTTGTTTTGACTTGATATTTAATTTAGTAGTTTGTTTAAGATTCTAACTTGTAATGAATACAGATGAATTATCTGTCGTATTATTTATCATATATTCACTGAATTACATGATCAATAAATGATATTTTGAATTATATATTGTAATCATTTGTCACACAAAAGGAAAATTACAATTGAGTTTAATTGTCTTAGTCTTTTGAATATTCCTTTAATTTATTAGATTTTATTTTTCTTTTCGTTGACATGCACGCCATGAATGGGCTAAACATCATTAATGATTCATAGAATACAAATATGCTATCTTCTGAATGACGTAGCATTTACAAAGAAGGATTTATCTTTTCTTGACTCAATATTTACAAAGAAATTTATTTTTAAATTTTGATTCATCATGACAATGAAATTAATCTAATGAATATTTGTTTTTCTTAGGTGATTATACAATAATTGCTGGAAAATTACTTAATACAACTTTATCAGATCATATTATTGTTGATGCATATAAAATTCAATATTTTAAAACTTCATCGAAACATGAACTCAATTGGCCATTTGAAGTAGTTGATATTAGTCAACGTGTTTATCATTAGATCTGATTAAAAACAAAAGAACACAGAAAGTTTATAGAGAAAGTCATAAATAATACTACGATAAAAAAAATACATCTCCGTTTCGGTTCATTGAAATTGACTGATTTTTTTCGTTAGTAATAGCAATTTATTCAAAATTTCTTTTTTTTTTTCATACGAATAATATAAATGCTAGTACTATTGCTGATCTCACTAAAGAAATTTCATCTGTTGTCAAATAAGGAAAAATACACTTGTGTAACATTACAAAATAACTTTGTGTTGTTACCCAAGAGGCTAGAAAGAAAAAAAATAAAACAAAGTTTATCAGTGACATTATAGTGAAGTGCAAAGAGGAAATTGTCAAGTTTAGCTAGTGTAAACTTTGATACGTATGTCCAATAACTAAGACGTATAATTGAAGCCCTTAATAAGCATTAAATTGCCAACTTCCTTGCAAAAAGCAGTGTTCCATGCTTGAATATTCGAAATATTGTAACGGTTGATTTTTAAACTAGACTATTCCTAAGAATTGACTCTATGTACCTATATACTGAAAATTATTTTAGAGAAATACATAGTTATATTTGATAATACGTCAACATTTTATTAATGAAATCAATAATATTAATCTTTATTTACATTATACATATGAAAAGAAGAAATTTTGAATAAACTTTTATTATTAACTAGAAAAAAATCCACCTATTTCAATGAATTGAAGCGAAGATATTTGAAGTTTTTTTTTTTTCTATCAAAATATTATTTATTGTTCATCCTGTATATTTTCCATTTCTTTTTTTTGTGCACAATAGAATAAATGTTTCCATACGTACAAAAAATAAACAATCAACTAAAACAAGAATAGATCAAATCATTAAAGATGTCGACCAAATCTTGTTGCAGGAATATAATGTTTTAAATTTGGTTTCCAACCTTGATTATAAGCATTTCGAAGTAAATCAATTAATTGTTGACGATTTTGTGATGAATTTCTAAGTATCGATCGGTGCTGTTCTTCTTTTTCTTCATTAGATTCACTATTACTAGTATCAGGTTTAATTGCTCGTGAATCTTGTGGTTCTAAAAAATAGATAATATAATATTATGAATTAAGTTTTGCTTGTTTTTTTTACCTTCATATTCATAAGAATCTAATTCTCCATAAGATAATCCTCTACCAGAAGTGAATGCAAATATCAGTAGCAGTAAGAGAAAGATTTGTAGAAGGTAAGAGTGATCCATTTTTGTATGCTCTGAAAAATGCAAAAAAAAACAACAATGAAGCTATATAAAACTATCGCAAATATTTCTTTTTATAATATCAAGTTGTTGTTTTATAAGATTAAAAAAAATTTTCTGTTTGCTTTGACCATGATATTTGCCTATGTTGACGCTATATATGACTCAGCAGATTTTGAAATTAGACACCTACTTACATATTAAATAACTGACTAAAATAATTTCAACATTCTCTCAAAAATTATTTAACATAATTTTTTTTGTCATGCAAAAAAAAACAAATTACGTTAGAAAAAGAAACCAGATAAGTTAGGAGAAGACAGAAGAAAAAGTTGTTCGATTCAACATATTGACAAATCGACGTGCATATAAAGTGTCAATAACCAATAAGAACGAAAATTATAAGAGTTTACTCGGAATCAATAGTCTTATTCTAATAAAACAAAAAAAAAAAACTTAGCTTAACCATAATAGAAAATAGATCATATATGAATATTCTTCTTCGATTAATTATTCTCAATAGTTCTTTTTCTCTATTGCTTACCAGTATATTTATATCTAACAATTTACATGATTTTCTTCACAGAATATATAATATGAGTAAATTAAAACTTGGGCTAAATATTGATGATTTTTCATCTAAATGATTTATTGTCCCTTTTTTGAGACATATAATACATTTGGGAATCCGATATAATTCATTACCTATTGCGAGGAAATTTATCGAACGTGGTTTTTTTTTCTTTTTTTATATTATGCTTCAATTCTTAAGTCAATAAAGGTATTTAAAATGTGGAAAAGAACACACGTATACATAGAATATTTATCATATTATGACTAATGTAGATAACACATTTGGTTTATCCTTCTATTTTTAACTGATAATTTTCTAATTAACGGAATATCATGGATACAAAACGTGCAGAAATTAAATTATATCCCGCAAATGAAACTCAGTATGTAAAATACATGATCAAGATTCTTATTTAGAACAAAAAAATTATAGCCGGTTAGGATATGCATGATTTTTTAAATAACAGCTCATTAATAAATACAAAAAAAAAATACAGAGATATACTAGTGGGTGTAGAAATATTCGGTTAGATGAGTACCTTAGTTTTGATTAAAAAGAATAGCCGACTGGGATATGAAAAGAATATTCTATTTATCTGAGGTACCATTAAATGATGAACAGATGAATGAACTATTAAAAGACACGATTCTCTCAGTCCGTTTCTTTTTTTTCTTTGTATTACTTAACTAATGAGACACATAACTTCCTTTTTCATCATAACTTGAAGATGGACATAGCGAATCGTAAATTAAGTTTATTTAATTTTTTTCAAGTCTGCTTATTATGTCATAAAGTAATACTTGGTATGAAAAGACCGTCAAGAGATTTATATATCGTCAACATTATGATAATGCATTATCTCTTCTATTTTATAATATGAAATTTTAACAGACATAAATATTAGGATTTCTTATTATTATAAGTTCAATGAAAAACAAAAGAATATAAACCACGGTTAATTAAATCTCATGTTTTAAGTGCTTTTCTTTTTTATTTAATTAAAAAAACTAAATATAAATTAAACAAGAATAATTTTTGCTGAAAAATGTTCAGATCAACAATGAATCTTTTTTTCCGGAAATAAAACATTTAATTATAAAAGACTTCAACAGATCGACATGAAAAAAAAAGAAATTAAGCAACAAATTTTCCACTTACTTGATTCCATTATTAAGAATTATTAATAGAAATCTTTGTGACATGATTTATCATAATAAATATATGACTAGGCTCAAAAGAATCTTGTCTCTATGCAACAATTTTGGATTTATTCAAATAATCTAATTAATACTTCTTAATAACGTTTTGAAACAAATAGTTTTATAAATTACATTAAGTTTAGAAGTCTAAAGTATAAAATCTTAATCTTACCTGTTATTACGTTCTGTCGATATCAATGCCTCTTGACAAATAATATAACGACTATATCTATATACCGATAATAGGAGAAGAAAAAACCAAATGATGAAAAACTCGATAGATTATAAAGATAAAAGAAACGTTCGAAAAAAACAACTTAAAAAAAAGCAGATCAATAGGAAAGGATATGTCCATTATATATAGATGTATGACAAACAAGGAACAGTTTCCCACGCATATGTGATAGAAAGGGATGATCCATGAAACATGACTGACAACAAGAGAAAAAAAAGAATTTAAATATATGTGAGTATAATAAGGATACTCTTATGATCTCATCTGAAGAGCATGTAGGTCATAACATAAAGATTTGCATAGATCTATTTATAATGTTTTCTAACAAAAAAATCTGTTAGAGATATGATTGGTTCGATTTGATGTGAAAAAAATAAATACGAAATTTTATTTTAACTTTCGAATTTGTCTAATTTGTTTTGAATTTCTCCTGCAATTTGTCGGCAATATTAGAGATGACTAAATTGATTAAGTTTCTAACTTGCAAAGTAGCATTTATTAAATATTTTAAAATTTAATTTTCAATAAGTGATGTTTTTATTCGTTTATTTAATATCTAATATCTACTCATATTATAAAAAAATTCACTAATAGTAAGGTGCCGCTAACCCAAAAATCTTC